TGCTTCCGGGATCCGAACAGATCTATCGGCGAGAACAAATTGGATGTTGGCTGGTGTAAATTCAGTGTACCCAAGGAATGTTGCAACGGAGTGCGGCATTAAATTTACGCTAGAGCCTAGATCACAGAGTTTTCTTGGAAATAGCTGCTCTCGAATTGTGCATCTAAGAACGAAACTACCAGGATCGGGTTTCTTTTTCTGGGGTTTCGTTCTGAATTGTTGCGCTAACCTCTGCAGAAACCATCATGACACTGCGTTTCTCTGTTGAAAAACTCTTGGTTGTCATTCCCTTGACATACTGTCTTATTGTTCATGAAATTCTGAGGGCGTCAATAAGTGGTATCTCCACTTTATTTCATTTGAAGGCTCGTCTACAGATTTCATTGTCTATGTTGCGCTTAGTATTAGATTTGGGAGGGTAGGGAGGAAAAGTTTTGTACACCCGTTCTATAGTTGGTCCAGTGGGTGTTGAATTCTCTTTCGAATTCGTGGGGGTTTGTCGATCGTTATCTTTATTTTTGTATCGATCGACATCGACAGTTTCCTCTCCATCGAGAATGATCACATGTTCCTCAGGTTCCTTATAATTTTTATTCGTTTCTTTGTTCTGAGGGAGATCAGATCTCGAATTGCAGAGTAGCACGGGGTTCGGAATGGGTTTATCCGTTTCTAGAATTTCAGCATTTCCTTCCGAAGGAGTGCTTTCTCTAGTAGTCGGAGTTAGCTGTTTTCCATTTCTCAAGATTACAGCACTTACATGACGTTTCGGGTTTATATATGTCTTTCCCGGTAGACGTCTTGCTTCCCTCTTGATAGTGATAGCATTATTGGCGATATTGCCTTCTAGACTTCTAATTTGTTCATACAAAGCGTCAAGTTTCTTTGACACTTCGGAGTAAGCAATATTCAGCTTGATGTCTAAGTCATTCTTTAACCTCCGGTTTCCTGTGAAAGCATGGATTAATCTAGCTTGGGCCCTTCCTTGGTGTGATCCAATGAGGGTGTTGTAGTTTTGGGTAAAACTATCTATGTTAAGAGTGTGCTCCTGAGAGCTTCCATGTCTAAAGAATGTTTGCTCAATGGACTGGACATTCTTATCACATTGGATTATATCATTTTTCTTTTCCTTTATTAAAGAATGAAGTAGATCCAAAGATTGCTTAATTTCATCTATTTAAAAATCGTTTCTGGATCTAGCTTCTCTTTCTTTATCTTTATTTGCATAAGATTTAGCCATTGCAATGTTTTCAATCAGACGATTTGCTTCTTCAGGGTTCCTGGAGCTAAAATTTCCGTTACTCACATTATCTAGCGTGATCTGGTAATCCAGCTCGAGGCCTCCGTAAAAGAATTTAAGGAGTTTTGGTTCCTAATAACCATGGTGGGTACAATTTCGCTGGTGATTCTTAAATCTAATCCAAGCGTTTCTGAAAGATTCTCGTGAGCCTTGAATGAATGTGGAGAGTCTATGTCTCGCGTCCCAATATCGTGTTACACCGAAGAATTGGTTTATGAATGCATTGCGGATATCTTTCCAACAAGTTAGAGATCCTGCTGGTATCTGATTTAACCAATTTCTGGCCTCCCTCCCTAAGGAGAAAGGGAAAAGTCTACAACGATTATTATCATCGAGTGCTAGATCTTCCAGATAATCGATGTGCTCGTGGGGGTTGTCTGTGGCAGAACCACGCAAGGGGTTTTTTTGTACTAGATGGATGTAGTCAAGATGAAGCGTAAACTTATTTGCATCATCCTCTGGTAGCTTAATGGCTGACCTATTGGAATAGGTCTTAATGGGGTCTAAGTAGTCTTGCAACTTTCCTGCATCTTCAGTTGAAGATGGATAGCATTCAACAGGGATTGCAGTCCCCTAATTAATTGTTAAATTATTGGTTTCATTGCTTAACTGACCTAACGGTTCGTTTTGGACTACTTCCTCATTAACTAGGTTGGTAAGTAAAAACTTACCTGCTTCCGGCTGGGTTGCGTCGATCGATGCTGGTTGGACTATGTCGATCGATTCCTCTCTCGACATATCGCTCAATGTTCGTGTTACGTCGTCGGTCGATGCTAGGCCGAAATTTGTCTTTTCCATCTTGAGTTCCCTGTGATAGTAGAGAAAGAGGAAAAGGAATTAAGTACACAAAAATAAAATCTAGACTATATTCTAAACTAAATCTGATGGTAATAAGAAAGAGTCCCCGGCAACGGCGCCAAATTTGATATCACTCAAATTATCCTAAGGAGTGAATTACTCTCATCAAAAGAGGTTCAATTGTAGTAGTTAGGGATCAAATCCACAGAGACTATAGGATTACACAAAATATTATTTAGTCTTTGAAATAAAGCTAGACAGCAAGTTTTAAACAGTCACTGAGAAGATGAGCAAGTAATTTCTCGATTGATTGGTTGATTTGTTAAGAGGAAAGAAAGTGGTTAAACTTAGGTATTTTCTCAGGTATGACAATCATGCAAGTTATAAAGGGTTTTTATTGTTCATAGTTCTGGATTCAAACTTTTAAGGTTTTAATCTAAAGGATTAACTTCTACTGGGCCTCGGGTCAACAACTATCGTTCGATGACCGTGAGAAAGTATTGATCGATGTTCAATAGAATTATCGATCAATGACTCTTTGTTATATCGGTCGACAAGATGATTATCCCGTCGAAAGATATTGCTGTCAGCGAGCTCTAGTAACAAGTTTGGAACGGTTCTCTATTCTTCACTAAATTAACTTAGATTTCAGGTAATTGCCAAGTTCTCACTTGTCCATATTGATCCTAAAATCAAAGATAAGGGTGATCAATCCTTAACATTAGCATTTATGATGACTAGATAAAGAACTATATTTTAAACACCCTAGTAATGGTTCATTTTCAATGCATGAGTCAACCTTAATGAGAAACCTAAATCTAACAAGAGAGACTACTCAAACATATTCATGAAAGACAAAGTCATAATGGTTTGAATAATGCTTTTAAGATAATAATAGCAAGAGAAACAGTAAAGAAATAAGTAAAGGAAGGGAGTTCAAGATCTTCTCTGGATTTGTTGTTCAGATCTCTCTCTCTCTACTCCTAAGCTCTTCTCAAAGTATAGCTAGATGCTTTTCTACAAATTAGGTCTAAAAAGATCTCTCTAGGGAAGTCTGTCTAAACAAGTACAAAACCCTCTTCATATAGCCTAACAGGAGGCCAGGGACTTAAAGTGTAATTATCAAAACTCTTGTGCAGTAATTAGGGCATCTAATCTTTATTTAATCACTCGGAGGACTTCTGTATCGATCGATAGTGAATGTCTTCAGTCGATCGATATGGGTAATCTTTTATCGTTCGATTGTTCTCAACGTACTCGGTCGATATCTTTAACATCGTTTTGCTCATATCTTCATAAAGTCTCCATTTTAGCTCTATAATGGCTAGTTTACACCAATGAGTACCTGAACCTGTAAAAGCTCTAAAAAGACACTAGAAGTATCCTTTTGTTTCCAAAAACATATATAAATCATGGTTGAAAGTGGGTAAAATCCATGACATATCAGCAGCTCTATCAACCACCTTTTGAATTGCCTTCTTATTTGGAAATTCGTCATGCTTACCGAGACTCAAACCATCACCCCCATTCCTCTATATACTTAGTCAATTCTATGACAGGTGGCTGTTGAACATATTTATCAGCGGTTGGAACAGCACTATCAGTTTTGCGAAGGGTATCAGTTTCCGCAGAAGTAGCCATCTCGGCTGCAGTACCGGTGACGACAGCGGTAACCGTCTCAACATTTGTATCAGTCTCCATAGCAGTCTTCTTACCAGTCTCACTCTCCAACTTTTATCCGTCTCCATACAATCATTCTCACCCTCTATCACCTCGTTATTTCCCTGTTTTTTTCTACATACAAAGTTATGGCATTTAGTCCAATTTCTTCCTCCAGACCCTCCTCCAAAGGCTTTAACTGTTGGTAGTTCATACCAATGGAACTTTTACCCACAACCGAAAGTTTATCTACCAAATATGATCTTCCACTACTCTCCACAATTAAAAGACATTTGCGGTTCTCTTTATCCATCGACGTTAGATAGACAAGTAGATCCTCATCATCATCAATATTTAGAGGTCCCGAACATCCTACCACCATCGGCATCTAGCTTATTTCAACTTTTCTTTGCGTTCATCCAACCCAAGCTTCTTATACATTCTCTCTTCTATCATTGACAAAGTCATATCCTGCACTGATGTCTTCAAAGTTATACTGAACATGTGGTCTTTGAATTGAAAATATATACTGACATGATTGCTCATCGTATCCTGCCAAAATAATGGAACAAATTCATCAAACTGAATATCAAAGTCTATCAGTTATCCTAAGTTATATCAGTAGTCCTTAGTTATATTCATTTGTACACGTTTTCTAAAATTTTACTCGTTTAGCCACAGTTCTATTAGTTGTTCCGAGTTATACAGTTTTACTCCAACAATCAACAACAAATTGAATTGGTTTCGGTGCAGATCGATCTAGGTTCCAACCTATTGCTTTTACATTCCCATTCAACCACCCAAAAGCAAATCAAACCAATTTAATATACTATTTGACTCAGAAACGAAACAATGCCGTTGTGCAATACTCCTAATTTGAACCCTCCCCCCCCCCCCAAAAAAAAAACCTACTACCCAAAAGAAACCTTTACTTACCAAAAACTCTTACAGCCCCAGCGAATGTCCTAGCGGAATGCTACACGTCCGATTGGTCTCCGCCGCTGATAACCTGCCGGAGAAATAAGTGGAGGAGGAGCGGAACTGTGGGATTGATTGGGAAATTCTTTGGGAATGTCGAAACCAAAGACACTGAGAAAGCTTTATTTGTTTTATCAATTTATTTTTTTCAAATCGAAGATGTTATCCCAGTTTTAACCAATACTATATACAAACGAAACCAACCCGAGGTTTCAACCAACCCACCCTACCATAATTTCAATTTATTTCTTTTTGTCGAATTAATTTGATGGTAGTTTTGTAAATATATGTTTCAGTTATGAATGAAAGGCATAAGAGTTTTCATAGAGGCATAGATGATTCATGTGTAGAATGGGGGCAGGGAAGCTCTTTGCTCAGGAGAGAACCTTCCTCCTGGTTCTTACGAGATAAAGCAGCTTGGGAAAGAGGAGATCCTCGCACCCCATACCAACTTCTGCACAATATGTTGCAAGATTTTCAAGCGAGACTCCAACCTGAGGATGCACATGAGAGGTCACGGCGATGAGTACAAAACTCCTGCCGCTCTCCCTAAATCACCGAACAAAGAAACCCTACCCGGGTCTGAGCCGATGCTGATCAAGAGATACTCTTGCCCATTCCCCGTTTGCCAACGTAACAAGGATCACAAGAAGTTCCAGACTTTGAAGACCATACTATACGTGAAGAACCATTATAAACGCACACACTGCGACAAGAGCTTCACTTGCAGCCGCTGCCATGCCAAGAAATTCTCTGTCGTTGCCGATCTCAAAATCCACGAGAAGCACTGCGGGAAAAAGAACTGGCTCTGTTCCTGTGGTACCACATTCTCACGGAAAGACAAGCTGTTTGGCCACATTGATCTCTTCCAGGGACACACTCCTGCCATCCCACTTGACGAAGCAAAACCTTCAGCTGGTGCATCTTCGCAGAGAGGTATCTCTGATGCCGGGAACAATCTTGGTTCTGCAACAAATGCTAATCAAGAAACCTCACAGCCTGGTTTCATGCATGGGAAGATAAGTTTCGAGGAGTCTTTCTCACTGCTGAGCTTTGATACATGCAATTTTGGAGGGTTCCCACGATCTATATTTGATGATTCAGAGACCTCATTTCAAATGCTTATTTCGAGTACATGTGGTTGCTTGCCCATCAATAGGGGTGATGGCTCTTTTTCAGATAGTGTCTATAAGGCATTTGCCGTATATGTTCTAGTTTTTTTTTTTTTTAAGCTTTAGGCAGCTCCTTTGCGTTTTTTCTTTTGTTATTTCCTAGAATCCTAATCAGGAAAGCAAAAGTGTATTTGCCTTTTCTAAAACCTGTTGCTAATATAAGAAAGTTTTTGTTCCTACCTTTTATGGGTTCACCAAGTGTCAATTGTGATAACCAAATTTAGGAAGTAAATTGACCTCTCCTTCATCTTTATGTAATAATACCAACCAATTTGATATATAGGTAGATTCACATATATGGAAGGAAGTACACTGTGAACTTGCAATTTTAACATAAGGTGAGCTGCTAAGCTAGCATCAGTTCTTGAGTCGATCCATTGAATGGTTAACACCAAGAAGTGTTGGTGTGCTATAGCTTTCTCAGAATCATCCACGCAAGGTTGAGAAGAAGCTTGACAGTACTTCTGAATCATTGCTTGCGTCTCTTTCCACGAGCCATTCTTCTTGAATCTGTACCCTCACATCTCTTATGATGAAGAAAAAGGAATTGATTACGCAGTGAAAAAAGAATATACATAACAGTCAAAATGAAAGTGAGAAGATGAAACCTTTTCAAGGCAAGAACTTGATAGTTTCTTCTCAAGTAATCTGCGTATTTCGTAAGGGCTTCTTGAGCATATGGTCTTCCCACAGTTCTGACAGCTGCCGCGCTCAGTAGACTCTCCAGAGAACCATGCTTTCTCACAAGTTTCATCGCTGTTTTCTTTCCAAAAGCCGGGACAACATGCTGAATCCCTGGAACTCCATCCACCTCATCACCCATTATACATCCTATCACCAAAAATAAAATCCATATTAACAATAAAACAAAGCAAGATTGCGGAGAAAAGATACTGTTTTAGACACTTACGAAAGCTCAAATCAGACTGTGGATCACAGTTATACTGAGCAAGGTAGTGTTTCAATGTATAAAAAGACCATCTTCTGAGATCAGCCAATGGAATGACAATCTGAACATTCTCTGAGATCAACTGCTTGAAGTCTTTGTCAGGCGATGCAATAACCGCACGGTATCCTCTTTGCACGGCTTGTTCCATAAGTGTAGCCACCACGTCGTCTGCTTCATGTCCTTGTATTCTAACAACCTTGTTCATCAAAACCAGCTTCAAGAAGTCAGATCATTTATTAAAAATGTTATGGCTAAAGTTCAAACACCAACTGTGTTCCTCTCCTAATTAATTTGAATACTGAGTAGTTTTACCCACTGGAACATTGCAGTTTCTAAGAACTTCTTCGACGAATTGGTGTGGCCTTGTGGAGAATGTCCCAGGATTTGGTGATTTCCTATGCGCTTTATATGAAGGCAATAACTCTCGGCGTTGCTTGTTACCTTCTTCTCCATCAAGAACCTACAAAGAAAAACATCTTTCATGGATCCGACTCCGAGAAAGCAAAAAGACTTTGTGCAGAGAAGAAGAGTGTTTACAGCTATGACAGGATCGGTGAAGCTGACTTGAGAGAAGAAGAGTGCAAGCCAGTGACCAAAAGCGTGCGAGCTTGGTTTGTTTCCTTCGTAGCACAGTGGACTTACATCCAAGAAGAAGACCCTTTTCTTTTTCTTCCTGCTTTCTTCACTAATACCATGGCGAACCTCCTTGCCAATATCTTCTGTTCGATGAAATGACTCAACGGAAGAGGACGATAATGGAGATGCACGAAGATGAGAAAAAGAAGAAGTGACCCATTTGGCTCGCCATGATTTTTTCATTTCTATAGATTGACCTTTGAAAGAAAGAAGAAAAGAATTCGATTGAGCAAATCCTACTGTTGTCATCATCTTCAACCTCAAGCGAGAGAGAGAGAGAGAGGTTTTACATTCAATTTGTTAATTATCCACAGACGTCGTCCTTTTTGCAATTCAGGAATGTTATGGGTCCTAAGTGGGCTTTTCAGCCTTAAGACGATATCCATATATACACCAATGCTCGAGTTTGCGCTAAGTAAAAATTGGTCAGTCTGGTCCTATCAAATTTACAGAAATTTTGGGCTCTGGAATGGTAACGAAGGGAACAAGGGAACCTATAAGAACACTACATTACTTAGCACTCCTTATCAAATTTAGATAATATTAGAGCATCCACGATAGGAGATTTAACCAAATCATTAGCACGTATTCTTAGGCAAATAAATTTAAATAATATTATTTAATTTGTTTAAACTTCAAAAACGACTTACTTTGTTGCAATGGGAACTACTCGTCCAAGGCACTGTCCTTAACTAAGGTATTTTAAGGACTTGATCCCTAATGACGTGACAACGTCCGATTGTTGAAATTTTTAACTTTTTAAAAAAAAATTAAATTGTAGAACCTAAACCCCTAACCCATAGACCCCATAACTCTAAACCTTAAGTCTAGATTAGTTAATTCAAAAAGTATAAATTTGTTTTTACATTCTTTAATAAAGTCTATTTTAATCATTTTTTTCTTTATAGGCTATATTTGTTACAAAAACATTTTTTAGGTTTTTCTAATTCATTTTCTCATAAAAATTTTAATTTCACATGCATGTTTTAAAATTTAATATTTTTTTCTCCTAAGAACTCCATAATGGATAACACTATTGGAGGAATATTTGTGATTAGAGTCCTTAACTATTCAAAAAAATAAAAACAATTATTATATTACTAAGGACTCCAATGGTGGATAACACCATTGGAGGTGCTCTTACATGTGTGGTCACTTTTTATCTTACTAATATCATAACAGGTTGTTGCTACTAAAGCACTTTATCACAAGAAACCACACACATTAGCTATACAAAATTTCAATACTATCCTTCTTTTTTTTTTCATTAACTTAGTTTTTATTATAATTCTTAATTACAACATATCTAGCGACTTAAGAAAAATATATTAGGTTCCCATTGTATTTCTTCTTCGTCTTCTTCCTTCTTCTTTCTTCCTTCTTGTTTATTTTTATTTTTATTTTTGTAAAACTAATTTGTTCCCACTAGATTTCTTCCTCATCACCTCCTCTAGATTTTCGATGTCATAGATCTGAATTTTTGATGACTTGAGCTCCTCCTTCATTCTCTTCTAATAATAATATCTCGAGAAACCCATAAAATAGAGATTTATGATTATTTACCGGAAATGGAAAGTGGTGGTGGTGTTCTCCGCTGGAGCCAAAAAAATCCGAGATTCGTGGATTTGATTTTAGAGAGTGATGTTGATGGGAACTGGCTCTGTTGGTGCTTTTGTTCCTGTTTTTTCTTCAGATCTTCAAATCTCCGGCGACCATGTGCTTCAGATCTTCGGCGACCATGCTCGTCTTGTTCTCTAGGTTCTCTATGTCATTTTTCCCATGGCAAGATCTCAATGGCTTTCCCGCCTACTTTTTGCTTCTTTCGGCAGTAGGTCACTTCGTTTGATACATCAGCCAAAGTATATCGGAAGCTTCAGAGTTTGATGCTGATTTTGCTGTCGAAATAATATAACTTGCGGCCATGAGCTCGATTCAAGGTTTTTGAGTTACTTTTGCTGGTTACTTTTTTGATTTCCTAGATTTTGCTTGTTACTTTTTTGAGTTCTTTTCTCTTTGAATGGTTAATCTGGGTTTACTGTTTTGGAGTTCGATTTTGTTAGCTAGATAAATTGTTTCTTAGAAGTAACTAAAATTAGGAACTTTCATGGACATAGGACATTTTGTATTCTAAGATATGAGTTTTATTATGAGCAGACCAGAGTATTACAAGTGGATATAACCAATCTGCTGATGTATGGAGTGTTATTTTCTTCTCACTGGATCCCTTTTGGATAAAAACTATGCAAAGCTTTCTTGATGATGTTAGGGCTGCAGGATTGTGTTGTGTTGTGGACAGTATTACTAGTTAGTTTCTTTAAATTCTTACAATACCAACATCACATTGATGAGAAGTTATATGTAACACATCACAATATTCAAACTTAATACCGAAAGATTGACTAATTGATACATATGATTATTGCTAAGCCCATGAGCAAGGTACACACATGTGTAAAATTGTAGATATTCATCTCACTCTTAAATGGAATTCCATTGTTCTTTCTTTCTATAAGTTCATGTGAGTTGCAACTTTCTGTTTTATATTTTATTTAAATCGAAGATGTACTACATATGTGCATTTTTAATGGTGTACATGTTTTAAACGGTATCCACATCCTTTAAACGGTATCCACATGTACACATAAGTACATCGTTTAAAACATGTAAAAATATGTGTACATGTGGATACCGTTTAAAGGATGTATATCTGGATCATGAGAAACATGTACAAATATGTGTACAGTGGATACCGTTTAAACGATGTATATGTGGATCATGAGAAACATGTATGTACAAATATTTATAGTGACTAAATATTTTATTGACGCCAAGTTTGCTTGTTCTATGTACGGTGCGACTTTGTACACATTTGTTTACTATCCATATGTACACTGATTAGCATGTCACATGTCTTGCATTATTTACATGTACACCGGTTTCAAAATCCACATGTACACAAAATCCATTATTAGTTCTGCACCGTACTCACTTCCAAAGCTCATATCAAATGTACATGTACATCAAATAAAAAACAAAGCACATATCAAATGTTCATCTGTGGCAATATCCACTAGTACACCTTTTACATGCTATCCATATGTACCTATATTACTAATATGGCTTTAAGAGTCCACCCCACAGCAAATATAGCAAGTAAGAGCATGATTAATCTACCACATTTGGCTGCAACACTTTAGAAATTGTTCTTATGAACTAATCATATTGTACATAAGATATGAAAGCCCATCAATCATCACATCAACATATTCAGGCGGCATTCCCTTCTTCCTAACTGGTCTACATCTAATGGAAGCTGCACTTGTTCGGTATAAGCATCACCATTATGTTTGAGTTCGTGTGTCCTTAGTTCCCTTACCCATCTCGTTGCACTATCAAACGTTGTGTGCCTTCAAATTGTACACAAGTAAATCACCTATATCTTCTCTTCAGTAAGAATTTGTGATTGTTCAGTATCTGTCAAAACCATAAACAAGACCACTGTTACAAAGATGTTATCAGAGAGACACAACAAAGGTAATACCTTCAGTAACAATATCATTAGCAACACAGCATAGATCATACCAAAGACACTAATAATGGACAAATAGTTTTGAAAGAAACCAACTTTATGACTATTAAGAAGGAAAAAGCAAAGAGATGAAACATAATCTTACTTTTATTGATCAGAAAAATTTCGCAAGACCTTGTCGATTTGTTTTGTGGTCTTCTTCTCGCGGTGGTTCTTATGGAAGTGAAAAACAAAAAACTGAGTTCCCATTCTAGATTCAGTTCCTCCCCCCCCCCCAAGGAATGGCACGCCTGACACCCTACCCAAGCAAAAATTCTCCCAAATAAAGCACTATGACACCTTAAAATAGTTAATAAAAGAACAATCAAAATTTGAATCGAACAGATTTAGATGATTCTTTTACCTTTGAGACAGACACAATTCTCGTCTTCCTTACGAACAACATCGATGATGGAATCAATAAGCTCAGCTTCGTCGAATTTTGGAGCTTTTTACCCGAAGCTACAAAACAATAACAAAATCTCTAGAGATCAAAATAAATGGGATAATAATATCTTTTTTTGTGCGTATTGTTGACATCTCCATGTCTCCTAACGCTTTCTCACAAATCTCCAAATTTTTTCATGTCTCCTAACGTTTTTTTTTATCAAAAAGGTAAGCTCAAAAAAGTGTTTGCTTTCCTCATCAGTTGAGAAAAAACAAAGAGGATTAAACCTTTTTTAATCTTCACATCGGTTCCACTGCACCCAATAAGCTCTCTCTTTTGAAATTTAAAAAAACAACCAGAAAAAAAAACACTTTTAATTATTCCCACACTAGTTTTTTATTTTCAGGGACATGATAGTATTGAACCACACAAAAAGTGTTTAAGTAGATCAAAGTGATCTATTGTGATAGATAAAGTCAGAAAGTGACTCACCACGTGAATATCTCTAAAATGTATCATTCATGAGGAATAGTATTTTCTTTTAATTCTCTCTCATTCTTTTTTTCTTGTAGAGAATTTTAGAGCAAATTTGTTCCTTGTTAATTTTGATAAGGAATGAATATTTCTCTTTATTCCCAAAATTTTATTCCTATTCAATTTTTTTATCCATTCTTAATATTTTTAAGATGGTTTACCAGTTACATCCCTAGAAATTAATTTTGAGTGTATTTTCGATTTTGTAAACAAAATAATATATATTAGTCGATTTCAGAACTAGCTAGTACTAATAATGTGCCGTGGCCCTTTTGAAGGTGCAATAAAAAAAATTATTCTTATAGTTTTACATTAACAATAATATTCATAATTTAATTCCATACAATACATAATTTGTAAAGAAAGCTATAGAAAAAGTCCCTTACATAAAATGTTATTTTTTCTACATAAACCAATACTTTATAAACTTTAAGAAAATTAAAACCATAGAGAAAAATTTGTAAGAAACCTTAAAAATACATATTGCAAAACATTAGAAGTTTAGGTTACAAAATATCCCTTATATACTAAATCACAAGTCGCATGGCGGATCAAAATTTAACATGTGATAAGTGATTCATAATTAAAGAAAAAAAGAAATAGAAAATTTTAAATGCAAAATCATTCGTCATTCTATTTATTGTTTTCTATATAAAATAGAAAAGTACCTAATATTTTTGAACTACGTCCACGATCTCCTAACTTTTGAAACAGTTAATATTTCTCTACATAACTGGCGGCGGTATAAATATATGTTCATTTTTATTTATAGTCAAAATTGTAGAATTCCTA